CATAGGTAATGGATGGATGGATGGTTCCTGTTTCAGTTCTTTCCCCCACCAGAGGTCCTCAGTGTGTCTCTGTCTTCTTCCTGCCACACCCATCTCACCTGCTTCCCACGTCCCTGAATCAGCTCACCTGCCTCCCGTCTGTAAACCCTCAGTACACGCTGTACTCCTCCAGCTCTCCCCCATTCAGCTGCCATTTGGTCTGTGCTGCACTGTCTCACAGCTTTCCAGCATTCTGTTCCTCAGCCTGTGTCTTTGCTTTACTTTTTTTAACTTTTGCTTGTACTGCTGCCTTCGTTTGTTTGTCTGCCTGGTTTTTGTATTATGGAACAGCTTGTAGTAAGTAAAGGTCGCTTGTTGTTCTTGTTATTGCTGCTGAACAAAGCCGTACAACTGCAGCAGGAAAACGTCACGTTGCCACAGGAACCCACACGCAGTGGCGATGCAGAAAATGCTTAAATATGATTTTATGGTTGCTTTTGATTGCCTGCCTAATCCACTTTAGACTGTAGTTATTGCAGCTATAACAACTCAGACTAGAACATTGATCAGTCCATTGGTGTGTCAATCAATCCCATTAATTTCCCTTTGATTGGAGCAAAACTAAAGTGTTGTCCACGTATCTATTATGGGGCATTTTCATTGATTATACACTGAGCGGTAAAATATATATCAACTGACATGATTAACATTGTTTTTTACCAGCAGTCTTCTCTTACCTTATTTGCAGTAAGTGCCTTCTACTATTGTCATTTTTTACATTTCTCATAGCCCTCTATTGTAACAACCTGATCCCCTTGACTGAAGTTTGTGCGGGTAAGGAGTACAAATAATAATCATCATAAGTACACTGTACAAAGAGAACAGTTTGTTAAGCTGTGATAGACTGGCGAATGCCCATAGTGTACTTGGCCGACTGCCCAGTGCATGCTGGGAGATATTCAACCCGCAGCAACTCGGAGCAGGTTAAGTGGCAGCAGAAGATGAATGGTTGAATGAATGTACCAAACATGACCTGCCAATGACCCACATGGGCATGCTTAATAACCTGCAGGTTAACCAGGCACACAGCGGCCGCAGTGTCGAGCATCTTGGCAGTATCCCCGTTATGATGTTTTATTCACTCCGCACAGAATAGGCTACAGCCTCACAGTATTACTTTGAACTTTATCAGCAGGTGTAGTGAAACTGGCAAACCAAATCCGTAATCTTTTCAAAGCATAGCATAACTCAGCCAGGTAACACTTCACTTCTTATCCCAATTAGTCACACCGCTGCATATTCATAGCAAAAAAACAGCGTTCAGATCTTTAAACTCCCTCCTAAAAGCTGTTTAATTCGCTGAATAAATCAGCCGCGGCCAAGGTATAATTAGTGTCGCGCTGAGAGATCGGGAAAGTTGAGGCACTGAGGTGGTTCGCGGGCAGATGCACGTCGACAAACAAACTTCCTTTGGGCAGTTTGCTGTCGTAGCGGCTCACACACATCTGGTCGTGGTCCAGGAGCTGCTAATGCTTAGTTCAGAGGGCAGTGAAAGCCACAGAGTCACATGATTGTACTGTACAGTCAAGTTCATGATGTACAATCTGGAGCATGCACTTTATATGCTGTCACTCAGTGCCTTTATGGGGACATTTCCTACAAAAAAAAAAAAAATCCCTTGTTTTGCTATTTAGCATTGCTAGCATCCCTGCAAAGTGGTTACACTCTGCTTGCATTTTTTTTTTTTTTTTTAAGGCAAGCAACGTGATCCAAAGGCTTGCAAAATTTAAGCACTGCTGAGTTTTAAATGGCCAAGTGTGCCAGAATGAATGAAATCAGCTGTTTTAAAAGGGACTCAGAGAGCGGAGAGTTAGGGATCAGCAGGGCAGCAGGATTTTATCGGTCAAAGCTTCAGCTATAGTCGCCTTAGATCACGCTTCTGTCTGACCCTAATATCCTCTGCCACTCACGTTGGCCTCTGGGCCACAAACCCAAATGGACGAACATAACTGTCTAGAATATGCTGAGTCCCTCGATCGCCCCGCCAGGACACCGCGGTTGCATCTGAAGCAAATTGTCTGACATGTTCTCCTGCTCCTCGCTGCCTCTCTGACATCTTGTGTGTGCTTTAACAAAAAAACGAGGCTACAGGATTAACACACATTTATAAAATGCTTTTAAAAATACTAACTCACTCTACAGATTCAGAGATTTGAGGTAGAAACTAAATCACTGGCAATTTGGATTTTTTTTTTTCTTTTTTTTTTAAACCAGTCTAGTTGCATCTTTGCCATGGCAGCAAACAAATCTAACCCTGACCCTGAGTGGAAGTGACAACATTCTTTATTCTATGTTTCACTCTCAGCAAAGGCGCACTGACTCACGCTGCAGAGCCTTACGAGTTGTGGCATTTTAATATAGGATGGTTGCTGCTCGACTGTGGAAACAGTTACAAATCGTAGCTTGAAATTCCTGAACTGGAATCAACCAGCATTCGTATTCCATGTATATTTATTACACGTAGAATAGAACAATCTCCCTACCTGGCATCTTCATCGATTGGACTGTTTGTCATTCTGTCAGTCTCGCAGCAGAAATTCAAACTGAAGGTAATTCGGGGGATTATCTCCTTTTAACTCCCGAGGTTGTATCATTTTGACTATTCTGCGCTTTCAATGAACGAGCGTTGCGCTTTCCACAGTTTATCGATTTTTCTTTTATTAGTTATTTTTTATTTACGACAGCGAACAGCTGCGCTCAGAGGCGGCCGTTTGACAGGTGGAACGGATGCCTTTATAGATTATGTTTGAGGTTTGTCTTGTCGAGCTGTGTGTCTCGCTGATCGGGGACAACGGAGCAAACTGTCTGCGAGAAGTTCCTTTTATCCAAACTGTCTGCGCCGCATGAAGAAGTATCAAACCCCATGGATCAGAGATGAGGCTAATTGGCACGACAGAGGTGCCTCGCCTGTGCTGTTTGATTTATGAAGAGTGATTCTCTGTCTTTGGGATGATAAACCTGTGGTGATTCTTCATTTAGAGACGACAATGTGCCTTATGAGTTTGTTCCCGTCACATTTCAGCAGGAACCTTGACATGAAATAAACAGAGAATCCTAAAAGGAAATGGGCCTACATCTTGAATGAGCTCAACCAAATTCAACAATACAGGGAGAACTAATTGGCATGGAGCATTTGTTAACATGCGTTGTGAGCCACTAACTCCCGACGGCCCTCTTCATCTCCCTTCTGGACGCAAACCCAAGTGCTGTTTAAGTCTTCATGGGATTCCGCTCTTCACGCTTCTCTTTTTTGCATCAGCTCTGTGTTTGTTTGTGTTCGGTGGCTCGCTAAAATGTTTGGAGGCCTCTCGTGAACGGCGAGCGTTTAGCCGCTGAACTGTTTTTTGCGAGGTCAAAACCAATGCGCTGTACAGTATGGGCATCCTAATGTGCAGCTGTGAGGCAGAACCCCCCCCTCCTCCTCCTCAGCTGGGGAGGGGATGCATTAGGTCCTCCTGTCTCTCCAGCTGCTCCTCTATTGCTTTTGCACACTCATTACGAGCACATGATGCTTTGTGTCCGTCACTTCATCCCTCTCTGGTTCCTTTAAACCTTTTCTCTGGGAGGACGTCGCACAGCGTCTTTTGGGGGGAATTCTCAGAAGCTGGTCGCATCCTTTATTAGCAATTCTTGCAACACACAAACACAACCATCCTCTCACATTCCTCTTTTCTCTCTCTTCCACTCTCATCTCCCACCACCACCACCGCCACCGCCACCCCTGTCCCTCCCTCCCTCTGCCCCTCGCTCTGGCTCTCTCCCTGCCTCTCTCCAAAGCTGTTGTTACTGTGCGGCTCCCGCACATCATTCCACCGCGATGGAAATTAAATGAAGGTGGCTTAACGCAGCTAACAGAGGCATGCTTTGAAGGATGTAACCAGGGGAAGCTGTGCTGCCAGATCCTTTTCCATGGGCTGTGGATTTGTGCTGCTGAGGCGAGGACACAGCAATCACTCAGCCATGCAGAAGCCCAGACAACAGGACTAATCTCTCCACCTGACTTGTGGGAGCTCCACTTTTTTTCTTTCTTTTTTTTTTTTTCTTCTTTACTGAATAATTTATTCCTCGTTGCCAAAGACAGTGTGGGACAATGGAGCCGGAGTGAAGTAGATGGTGAATTTGTAGCCTTGACTGCAGTCTGCAGCACACATGGATGTGTTCAGCTTTGTGAAGATGCCAAAGCTGTCAGGGTGAGTCCGACGGACGCCGCTATGTGTTTGCCTGCCTGTGGATGTGCCTGTGCGTTCTGTGGAAGGTGGCGTCTCGTATGTTCGGGGAGGCGATTCGGAGTGACACGGAGGGGGGGGATCACATGTGGAACAGTGGGATTAAAAATGCTGAGTTATTGATTGTTCAAGGGAGCAAGTTGTGCAGCCATGTATGATGTGAAATGAATGAGCAAGTGAGGTAGATGGGGAGTGGGGGTGGAAGCAAAAAGCTGATGCGGTTCATGTATCTAAACTGTCCTCATCTAACTTCATGAATTTCTTACACTGCAGACAGCGGTTACGGTCTGTTGCTCAAGTGTTTTGTAATGTCATAATGAATTCATACGTGTTTTACCTTGAAACCACAGAATAATCAGCTGCAGTTGTTTGAAAATTTAAACACTCCAGATGATAGAAATGATTACCAATTCTCTTTGGAGTTCAAATATCATATTACTGCAGTGTTACAAAACAATAAACACGTCTTTCTCACATGAAATAACTGCACGATCTGTTCATTAGTATCGTTATACGTGAGTTGTTGTTTAAAACGATTGGCCAAGTTCACACAGCTACGGCCTTGATGGCAGCGTTCATGCTTACAGCTCATGTGGAGCATTTGCTATAATTTAATAAAAAATGAGAATGTGTAGAAAGAAAACATTTTATTTGTGTTATTTTCTTCACAAATGTTAGCACGCTCTTTCAACAAGAAGCGAAGGGAAATGTATGATATGTGAAGTATGCATTAACCTAAGTCCCAAAGAATTCATTCATTGCCAGGGCTGACACCTCACCTTATGCACCCATGGGTCTGCTAGATTGAGTTGATCTGCCCCAGTGGACATTAATCCTCCTAGGGGATTTGGCTCCATCAGAAACACCACAGACCACTGGTGGGGAGAACAGCCGATCATAAACAGGAGATACTAAATAAGATATATGTGTCACGAGAATGCCCATTCAGGCCTTTCGCTTATGAGTCATCAACAAACTGCTATGACAATTTTTCTTTTAAAGTTAATAGACAGAAAACCATACAGCAGACAAAATGCATATGGCACCTCTGTGTTCCTTTTTGTTGTGTGTTGTATGAAAATGGAAGCTCCTTTTCATACTAGTCCTCTCAATCAAACAGGTGATTTTCAGTGATTTTCCATCATATGACAGGAGACACAGTTAGCATCCCTCAATGGCAGCATTTATGATGCGTCTCCCAGTGGACCACCAACGTCACTGCATCCTGTCACTGTTAATAATGCCACACAGTGCTACATCCCTGATTATGAGTTACCACTGCTACACTAGCTTTTTTGTTGTTGTTGTTGTTGGTTTTTGTTTGTTTTTTCCCCCTCTCTGTCTCAGCTGCCAGCAAGAATCTAAGTCAGCAGGATGGTGTTTTGCTAAGGTTGATAGAACATTTTTTTTTTTTTTTTTACAGAGAAACCCACTGTATGTATTTAGAGAGCCACAAGAAAGGGAACGTTACCCCTCATTGTCTCTTCCTCCTGCCTTGCAACGCCCCCAGATCTGTCAGAAACAAAAGCGTGCTCTCGCTTTCATTTTCTTTCATTCTTTGTTGTGTTAAAATCAAGCCAACACTTCCACATGTTTGAAGTTCCTTTATTTAAAGATAACAAACCCCTCCGTGTCTTCTTCTTTCTAACAAAGCAAGTTTGAGCCGTTTGACCAAAGTAGTTTAAGCCGCTTTTGTTTTGATCTTTCTATGTAGAGCTTTGGCTTAACTTACCTCCAAGTGCTGTTTACACGTCTGATGCACTCTGTGGGTGTTGTAGATGGTTTGCTAGCAACAGCGCTGTGGAGATAATGAGCATGAACCTCATGTGTATATATGTAGAAATTATTATTCAGTCGTATTGTTTGCTTGAGTCAATAGGTTTACTGAAATGCATATATATGTGCGGGTGATTGCTGAGCATGCTCCCACTGCATGCATTTAAAAAAAGGTCTAGATTATTGTTTATTGTATCTTGTCAGAGCTATTTTTAGTGGCTCTTACATAAATGATTGCTATGTTATTTAAATCGTTTTTTTTTTTTTTTACAAAACATGAATAATATGGAACAGCGGTTGCAGCTAAATTTTGGCTCGTGTGCTCAGTTTTTCTGCTGGTGCTGCGTGCTTGCTTCATTCCCGGCTGTGTTTCTTAAAAAATCCATTATGTGAGCCATTGTTCAACATGTTTTGACTGCAAACTTTTTGCACAGGAAACCACTGGTCTGGACACAAATTGATTAGCCTAAATGCTCATCAGAGTACACACTAACCAAAAGATCTGTCATACTTAGCTGCTCAAATCAGAAGCTCTCAGAGAAGAGTAGATCAGAAATGACTTTGGGTCAGAAGTGGGAGCCAGCTGGCTGGTGGATGAGGTCTTAGGGAACCATTTATTTTGCTCTGTCCTTTAGAGCTTTTAGCATAAAAGCAGCGAGTAGGACAAAGAGGTGCAGGAGAATCCATGTCTAGTTCAGTGCCCACAGGCTAAGTTCATCACTATATTTGGTTAATGTTTTACATAGAGCCCTGTCGAGCAAAGAAGGCCTGCGGAGAATGCAGTGTAATAGTGAAGTGAGATGAAAACATCATTCTGCGTCATATTTTTATGTTTCTTTCAGAATCAATTAAAAGCGCTGCTACTGGGTTAATAATGAATGTATTACATCTGTACATGCAAGCATGCTAATTAAGTTCCTGGTTTTAAAATGTGCTGATTTGTCATGATGTAAGCGTTACAGCAGACCATGTGTTCAGCTTTCAAATGGTAACTCTTCAGGTAATGGTGCCATTTAGCAGGTAAACTAGGGACAGCGCGACACTGAGGCTCCCTTACTCACCGTAAAATAGCAGGAGGATCGTAGTGGGTGGGCTGTTTCCCAGATGCTGTTTTATTTCCACACAGAGGAGATTAACTAACCAAAAACCTTTCTATATAGAGGCACCAGAGAGCTGCTCAGGATAGTGCGGTTGCCCATGGCAACAATATCAGTGCTTACAAAGACAAACACAGAAATACAATCTTCAGTTGGAATAATGGGGCAAACCAGACACTCTTATTCTAAAGTGAGTGGTGGTGTGCAGAAAATTTCGAGATTAGATGATGTGCTGATGTGATGCGGCCATGTAATCAATGTTCGCTTCAAAGGAAAGTGGTTACCTGCATATCAGGCCAACGGTGTTTTCTTCTGTGAAAGAAATAGACCAAACATTCAAGTAGCCTATAAGTCAGAGAATGCACGAGAACAGCAACGTAAAATTGAGCAATTTCGTCTAACTACATGGTCCGTGATATCTGATCTGATATTTGAAACCTCTACTAGCCTTCACTTGAACATCGATGTATAAATAGCAGCGCACAGTATAAATAGCAGGCCGGACCATGTTCTATTGTGCTGCTGTGTTGACCAAAGCTCTAGAGCCAAGGTGGTGGTTGGAGAAGTCAAACAGAGGGCAGATGTTTTCTGAAACAAAAGGCAGTGCCTCTGTGCCCTCAGCACGACGGAGGCAGTCTCTAAAAGAGGAGCAGAGGAATAAGGCCTTTAATCAGAGAGGTTCCTCTCTGTCTGAGCCACTTCTCTGCTGCACTCCTCCGGCCTCCTCCCTGGAGATGGTCATCTCATCTCTCCGCAGATTTCAGATCCAAACAGAATCGCATTAGCAGTCTATCTCTGCATAAATGTCTGTTTAATTCAAGAGCAGCGAGAAAGCTGCATCACAGCCTCTTCACCATGTATCTCAAGTCATATTTGTAACACTCCACTCCCTGTCACACAAGGAGGGGAGAAAAAAAACCCTTTTATTTTTATTCAGCTTTGTGGAGAGTAGAGTGTGTGTTCTGTTGCTGGCAATGAGGTCGACGGTGACGTGAGAGGCACAGAGATTCTTACCGATTTCAGATCCGCAACACATGGTGGATTCAAGACTCTCTAATTTAAAGTTGTTTTTAAATTCTTTCAAAATGACATGAATGTAATTGTGGCAGTGTATGAAATGTGTATTTATGCAGCAGAGACAGTGCTGAATGTCGTATTGAAACATAGCTTGTTAGTCGATCTCATCTGACTGGATCCCTTTATTCAATCACACCAAACCGGCTGAGAATAATGTGACGTTTCATTCATGATGACATACACAAAGAAACACTGAAATTATTGTGGCTTTCTCAACCTGGGGATATTCCCCTGTCTGTTGCCCAGTTCATGTTGGGAACCAAATGTTGCAAGAGCCAAAAAGGAAACGCAGAGTTTGGGCCTCTGGCGACCGGCACGTAAACGTCAGTAGAATTTTGCAGCGACGTGCAAATATGAGTCATTGACGCAAAACACTTGTCAGAGGAAATAATGTTTTGAAAGCCTGGTGAAAAAAAATGAATATCCTTTACTTTCAAGATGCATAATGGCAGACATGTGGTAGCAGAATGTGGTTTCATATAGCCGGTCCTTCTGGAGATTGTCAATGTAAATTATTCAAACTAACTTGAGTGTCTGTGTTGGAATGTGCTCTTCTTAGCTGTGGCTTGTCTATAATGCATACTTACTCCCTGCATTAACAGGACTTTGGCTTTTCAACGCCACAATGCTTCGTTGCGACGAGCGTGTATTCAGAAAGATGAAAGCAAAAGTGAATTACTGTGATAAAGCGAGGATCGTATTGTTCATGCAATTTTTATGAAGGACTGAAAAGTGATCTTTTTCCCATCTCTCACGCGGTACAATTAAACCCTTAACGGCAATATCTGTTCATCTCCATAATGATATCAAGACAGATAGAAGAAAACTGGGTTAGTTTAATTTAGATACTAAAACCCCTGATGTTAGCCGCAGTGGTAGCAAAGTGCTAAAGTTCTTCTTCATTGATTCTACATTTCTACAAGCTGTCTGCACTCCTTTATTTATTTCCTTTTAGTTTTAATGTGTTTTAAAGATTAATTTTGGAGGCTGCTAAATAGTAAAGTCGAAGATATGTGCAAAACTGAAAAGGTTTATCGTGTTTGGTTTGAGTGAAATTTGTGCTGAAAGAAATCCTTCAGGAACCCACATTTTCCTCCAACTTCTTCTTCTAATTGTCCTCACTCTGACTCTTGGGTAACCTGTTCATGAATTGTGCAGCGCGGTTTGCCTACTTGGCGCTTGATTACTTAGTCCGATGTGACTGCGCGGCCATTATTTATTAATGCTCGCTGAGGAAGATCGGTTTCACTGTCCACCAGTGGGTGAACCTTTTCAGCCTCTCCGTTAAAGCTGGAATGCTGCGACTCAGTGGCATAATGCACCTCCTGTCTGCAGACAAAAGAAATCAAAGATCACAGTATCTATGACTGCGCCGCTAACACAGAGACGCTGTGGCTGAGGGACAGAAAATGGATTTTTTGGAACAATTTGTCCGCTCAGAAACATGTTTTGAAGGTGCAGCATCTGAGACCGTGAGTACAATATTATGTCGTAGACCTTTTTGGGGAAATGTCAAACGTATGACTGCTGAAGGTGTAAAATACTGTCATTACAAAACATTATTCATAAGCAACAGTTGTTTGACCTTTCATACATCTCTCGACTAAAATCTCCATAATCAGACCACTGCTTGTGCGAGGGGGGGGCTCGTCAATGAGGTGAACGTGGCTGCAACAGTGTCAGACAGTATCCAGTCGCGTCCACACACATCATTTGAGCTGCAGGAAATGTTCTAAATATACACCATGGAGGCCTGCTATTGTACTGTAGGTCAAATAAATCCATATCCATGTGGAAA